GGGAGGGAAAGAGAAACACAGGAAGAGAAAGGGAGAGAGAGGACATTCATCCTCCCACGCGCCGAAGGACAACCCTATTTAACCCTTCGAGGCGAGCACAGTCGAGCCGGGACTTGGAGCGTTTTCTACGGTTCCCACTAGCGACTCGATTTCCCTTCTTCTTCATCGAGGAACTTTCTGGCTGCGTTTAAAATTGCTTCGACTTTTCCCGGATTATCTCGTTAGCCCCTTGCCGCTTTTAATATCGAGCCTGGCTCGGCGAAGATCTTGATGTAATTAATGCCGTCGTTCGCGAGTTGATGCGGAATACTATTTTGTCTTCATTAATATTTAATTCCTTGAGTGAACGTCAAGTTTCTATTCCTGTTTGAAACTTGTTCATGATAAAGTGGCTTCGGCGAGTTTAGTGGAGAAACATAAAATTCTCAAGCTAATTATGTAATACCAGTCTGATCGGTTCTTGTATGAGTATCCTCTAAATTGCTTAGCAAAGGGACCAAGTGATTAAGCTTGAACGATCCCTTCTTCATCCAATCAAAGAAGTATCCGCAGAGAAGTAGAGAAAAGGCACCTTGCAATGAGAAGATCTAAAAGTTTTGAAGCGGGAACAGGAGTGTCCAATAACTAGATTAGCTTCGGCCATTTCCCAATGGACCGTTTCCCTGCGCTCCCAAATGCCACCCTCAATCTCGGCTCCGGTACAGTTTTCGCTCGTGAAACGTGTCGAACCGTCTGCCAGAAAGATAAACGGACACCGTCATCTGCTAATCGACGTCATAAAATTCACGGCAGACACGCGTGGCGACGTTTCACCGGGAACGTCTACGCGCGGCTGTAGAACCGCCGCCGGCGCGTTCCGCGCGGAATTGTTTGCTCGATGACGAGGAGAATGCGTTTGGCTTATTGTTAGCGAGACGCGGCCTGTTTGGGCTGTTAATTACGGGCTGCGAGCGGCTAATTGCGCGGAACATTTGGTCGCACGATCTTCGGCTCTTTGGTTAAATATAAGAATTGCTCGACACAAATACGCCGGCCGGCTCGTCGATATTAACGCTTCCAGCGCTCGTTAACGATATAAATACTTTCTTGCGGTAACGGAACTTCTTCGTTGTTGGAAATTCATGGTAATGTTTACAGTTAGCTGCTGAATAAAGCGAATACGCTTGGAGCACGTGGAACACGAAAAGTATTATGAAATATTCATAAACATTTACTTACATAGTCGTAGTTTCATTAAACAGATAATTCTTTCTCTATGAAAATTTTATAGATATAGATCTTATGGTTAAGATTTTGATGAATTATGTTTCTTCGAGGTTCACCATTTAAATGATATTACATTTACACGCTTGAATTTCTACTATTTCGAAGTAAAGATGATTTCCAGCGATCGTTTCAGTGAAACATGAAATCGTAGGAAATACTTGTGACTTGTACGGTGTTTTTCTATAACGGAAACGTAACAATGGCTTTTCTAGTCCAATTAGCAACGAGTGCACTGGTACAGGAAGCCATAGCCAGCGAAATACACGGGGTACTCAATTATTTGCCACGTAGGCGTGCTCAATCGCGGTTGACCAACCGTTTATATAGTTTGGTCGTGCACGGTTTGCAACAGAGTGCAAACTTTTCCGTCGGCCAAGTATCTAACACGCGTGGTTTCACGTATTCGCTCGTGTCCAACTGAACAGTTCACCAACTAAAAGTCGATGGGTGTTTGTCGAGCCCGAGTAAACGAACCCGGCGAGCTGGATTCGAAACGGTTCCTGAATGGAAATATCACCCGGCAGCAAAGCTTGATCCAGCTTCCTTGTCCACTAAGATTCTACCCGCAGAATTTTATTGTTATTAGGACTCTATAAACTTCTCGCCGACCGTAAAGTAACTAATTTATCACTTCTGGAAGCGATTTCTGCAGCAATACGGTCGCTGCATTGTGCGGAAAAAATGTTTACCGCGGTTCTACATAGTTTCATTGAAAATGGAGTTCCCTACACTCGCACGAACGTTATCGGAGCTAAAATATCCAGCCGCCACTATTTCTATGTATCATCTAGTTCGATTACATAAGTGTCGTAACTGTACGTCGAATTTCATAAATTAGATCGAGCAAAAATCACGGGGACTGGTATTTCTAGAATATAAGTTGTCTTTCATGATCTGGTTGAACTAGATTCGAAAAAAACCTTAGCAAGAATATTTTTAAAAGTGTTTTCATTTCCATAAAATATCAATCTGATTATAATACAAATTTCTGAATACTCAATCATTTCGTATATTCCGAAATGTCATGAATAAATTATGCAAAACGATGTATCAACTTAATATTCAACGATTAGATTCGCAAAACAAACGAAACTACAAGAGGTTCACTCAAATTTACACGAAAGGTATTCAAAAATCTTCCATAAGTGTTCTCCCACTTATAAACATCTCAATTCCATCAACTTTCACAAACATCTCCGCGAGTCCGCTTGTCCCTTAACATGAAACCCAGCGTTAACCGAAAGAACAAGGGAACAATCCCGAAAACAGTTCCCCGATCAAAACGTCCATTTACATGACAATGTACAACACCCTCGTCCCCTTCGCGGTCGGAAGCCGTTAAACGAGTTAACATTTTCCCCGGAAACCGCGGAAGATAGAGAGAGAGGAAGAGAAAGACGGAGGAAAACCGTGCCGAAGCATTCCTCGCGAGATTCCAGCGGGCGAGTCGAGAGTGCTCGTCGTAGAGCGCATCGGTTCCTCGGATCTTTTGTCGTCTACATCGTCGTCGTCGTTGTCGTCGTCGTCGTCGTCGTCGTCGTCGTCGTCGTCGTCGCGGCGATCGTCGGGCGGTGGTGGCGGAGGGCGGATCGCACGGAGACGAACGACGGTAGAAGAGGGAGGGTCGCGGAAGCTCGGCAGACGATGAGCGGCGGGGGTAGGTT